GCCGATACGAAACAAACGAGACCCCGCCTGCGCTAACAGGGATGATACAAATCGCGATCGACATCCACGAACGGACGGCCTTTGCCGACGGCCACGCTTCGCCGAAGCCGGCGCTTACGAGCGGCTGGTCGGGCGGGCCCGGTTCGCCGTCGATCCCGACGCGCCTGCGCAGGCTGGCATCGTCGACGTGGACAAGGCGCCGCGCAATCGCGATGGCCTGGTCGAGTTCGCGGCCGATCTCTGCATCCTGAAACCGGTCGATCCGGCCCGCGGCAACAGGCGGCTCTTCTTCGACTATGGCAACCGCGGCAACAAGCGGGCGGTGCAGTATTTTAGCGATGCGCCGGCCTGCAACGATCCGGCGACACGCGAGCACGCCGGCAACGGCTATCTGTTCCGCCGCGGCTACACGGTGGTGTGGGGCGCCTGGCAGGGAGACCTCCTGCCGGGCGATGGCCGCATGATCTTGACCCTGCCCGTCGCAACCGACGGCGCCGCGCCGCTCACCGGCCTGGTGCGGTCCGAGTTCATCGTCGCTCAGGAAGGCCAGACCACGCTGCCGCTGAGCGGTTGGGTCTCCACCCGGAGCCACCCCACGGTCTCACGCGATTCCTCGAAGGCCCGGCTGACACGGCGCCGCTACCCCGACGACGAGCGCGTCGAGATTGCGCCGGACGCGTGGCGGTTCGCGCGCGTCGAGACCGGCATGGGTCTCGATTTCCAAGGCACCGAGCAGGCGATTATCGAGTCCGACACCCACATCCATATGCCGGGCGGGTTCGAGCCCGGTTGGATCTACGAGCTCGTCTACGAAGGCCGCGATCCGCTCGTTCTGGGCTTGGGCTACGTGGCGGTGCGCGACCTCGTGAGTTTCCTGAAGTACGAGGAATTCGACAGCGAGAACCGCGCCAATCCGGTGGCCGACGGCGGGCCGATGGAGAAGGCCTATGCCTTCGGCCGCTCGCAGACGGGGCGCTGCATCCGCGATGCGATTTACCGCGGCTTCAACGCCGATGCGGCTGGGCGCAAGGTGTTCGACGGCGTGCTGGCGCACGTCGCCGGCTGCGGGCGCATGTGGATGAACCACCGCTTCGCCAACGTCGTCGTGCCGGCGGGTCAACAATACGAGGACCACGACAACGCCGCCGACAGTTTCCCATTCTCCTACACAGAGTGCACGGATCATTTGACCGGCAAGTCTGACGCAATCTGCAAGCGGCCCGAGACCGACCCCGCTGATATTCCACAGCCAGAGTGCCACGGAATATTGGCAGCGGCGCGGCTCGCTCGTGCATACCGACACCAGGGGCAACGATCTGGAACAGCCCGACAATGTGCGGGTCTACTTCTGGTCGAGCGCACCGCATGTGGCCGATCCGAACCAGGGCGCGCCGGTTCGTGGCGTCTGCCAGAATTTGAGCAACGTCGTTCAGACCTCGATGCTGTTCCGCGCGCTGCTCGACGCGATGGACCGGTGGGCGAGCGACGGTGTTGCGCCGCCGGCAAGCCGTATCCCCAGGCGCGACGACGGCAGCCTCGTCGGCATGGACGAATGGCGCACGCAGTTCCCGAACGTCCCCGGGTCGCCACCCCGCGCGGGCCCAACGCGCTGCCGCTCTTCGACTTCGGGCCGGAGGCGGGGGGCGGCATTCAGAGCACGCTGCCGCCCGATCTCGTCGATCCCGAGGGCTACGCCGTGCTGGTGCCGGCGGTCGACGCCGACGGCAACGACGTCGCCGGGGTACGGGTGCCGATGGTCGAGGCGCCGCTCGCCACCTACACCGGCTGGAACCTGCGCGGCAGGGGCCAGGGCGAGGGCGCCATGCACGAGTTCACCGGCAGCACGATCCCCTACCCGAAACGGAATCGACACGGGCCGCCACCGGCGACCCGCGGCCATCGATCGAGCAGCGCTATGGCGACGCGGAGGCCTACGTCGCCGCTATCGTCGAGGCGGCAAAACGCCTGGTCGCCGACGGCTTGATGCTGGAAGAGGACATCGCCCGCGTCGAGCAACGCGCCCGGAACTGGAGCCGGCCGCTGCACGACGTGCGTCTCTAGCCCGGCTTTCTCATCAGGGTCATGGTCCGCGCGGCGCGCGTCACTGGACCATCACCACCGCGCCGCTGGTCGCGGATTCATGGGCGGCCAGCACGGTCCGCACGGCCTCCATCGCCTCCTCCGGCGTGATCAGCGCAGGCCGTGTCCCTTCGAGGACGCAGCGCGCGAAGTAGGACCATTCGTCGCGCAGCGCGCCGCCGGTGATGCCGTGCAGCTCGGGCCAATAGGTCGTGTCCGGAGTCTTGAAGCCCTCCTTCGAGCAGACGCCGATATTGGGGAAGGTGTCCTGGATGTGGATGAAACCCTCGGTGCCGATCACCGACATGCGCTCGTCGAGTTCGAAGGGCGAGGTGTCCGGCATGCACCAGGCGCCCTCGTAGATCGCGGTCGCGCCGCTGTCGAAGCGATACATCAGCTGGGCCATGTCGTCATACGCGCGACCCAGCGTGTTCACGGTCTGCGCGTAGGTGCTCACGACCTTGGCGCCGGTCAGCCAGAGCATCATGTCGGTGTCGTGGGAGCAGGTGTGCAGGATGGGGCTGATCGAATCGAGTTGATCGATGACCCACTGCGCCGGCACGTTTCGCCGGGCGTTGATCGCGACCACCTTGCCGATCCGGCCCGCATCGATCTCGCGCTTGGCCGAAGCGTAGCGCGGGTTGAAGCGGCAGATATGGCCCACCATCAGGATGGCTTCGGCATCGCGCGCGGCATCGCACATGCGCTGGCAATCCTCCACCGTCGATGCCATCGGCTTCTCGACGAGGACATGCTTGCCGGCCGCGAGCCCGGCCAGCGTCGGGGCGGCGTGGTGGTCCCAGGGCGTCACGACGGCGAGCGCATCGATCTCCGGGTCGTCCACGAGCTCGCGATAGTCCGTGCAGGTGCGGGCGACACCGTGCTCGCGCGCCATCTCCGCGAGGCGGTCTTCCGACGCATCGCAAAGCGCGGCGAGCTCAAGCTGCGGATGGTCGGCGATGGCCCGGCAATGCACCGTCCCGAACCAGCGCCGCACTCACACTTACGCTGCTCCCTCGACCCCGTCTCCATCATCTGTTCTCACGATCCACTTACGGCAAGGCTACGACGCCGAGGCTTAAGTCTCACTCTCCGCGCTAGCCCCGGTCTGCGCGCAGACGCTATGTTCGGTAGCCTGCGGGCAATGTTGCGTGCGCGAGAGAGGGCGCGAACGTATCGGCCGGCCGGCTCGGCACTCAGCGGCGCCGCGACGTTCTCACGTGCGGCGCGCCGTCGGGCATGCGGGTCGAGCAACCGCTTGCGAAGGCGGATCGACGCCGGCGTTACTTCGAGCAGTTCATCGTCCGCGAGATAGGCCAGCGCAATCTCGAGCGGCAACGGCCGCGGCGGGCTCAGGCGCACGGCATCGTCCTTGCCGGCGGCCCGGACATTGGTCAGCTGCTTGTTCTTCAGTGGGTTGACGTCGAGGTCTTGCGGCCGCGTGTGCTCGCCGATGATCATGCCGCCATAAACGGGTACCCCCGGCTCGACGAACATCGTTCCCCGCTGCTCCAGGTTCCAGAGCGCGTAGGCGACCGCTCTGCCCGCGGCACTTGATATCAGCACGCCGGTCCGCCGCCCCGGCAGCGGGCCTTTGAATGGCGCATAGCCGATTTCGAAAAAAATATAAAAAAACAAACCCAAAACAAACAAAAAAAAACAAACAAAAACCAAAAAAAAAAAAAACAAAACAACCAAACACCACCCCCACACAAACCCCCCAACAACCACCCACCCCCCACCCCCCAACACACCCCCCCCCACACACACCACCCACCCAACCCCCCCCCCCCCCCCCCCAACCAACCCCCCAACACCCCCCCCCCCCCACCAACCACCCCCCCGAGTTCCCCGCCCCACCTGCACTCTAGACCGCGCCTCTCCGCGACGCGTCCCTCCCGCACTCTCAACCCGTCCACGCCTGCGCCCGCCGCCTTAATACCTAGTACGCGGCCAACACGACCAACCTGACCAAAACTCCTTGCTCCCCATCGCACCCCTGTCGTGTTTCGCCCCATTCGTTTTCGTCCCGAAGCCCCTGCCCCTCGGCGGGATCCGCCCCGCCGCCGCCTTTAAGGAGCGCCACCCAGAGTGGCATGATCGTGCCGGGCCCCTGACGGTGATCATCTCGCCATTGAAACCGATCACCGCTCCGCGCGCGCTGTCCGTGACACAGCGGCGCGGCACCTTTGTCCCGCCCCGAGGGCCGCAGCTCGATCAGCTCTGCGCGTCGCTCCGCGAGCGCACTCACCACGTCGCCGACGAAGGCTTCGTCCACATCGATCTGGATTTCTTCGATGGGCTCGAGCGGCGCGCCACCCGCCGGGTCTTCGCGCATCAGCACCCGCGGGCGGCCGATCGAGAGCTCGAAGCCCTCGCGGCGCATCGTCTCGATCAGCACTGCGAGTTGAAGTTCGCCGCGGCCGGCGATCTCGAAGGCGCCGTCCTCCGCCAGGTCGCTCACCTGGATCGCGACATTGCCCTCGGCTTCGCGAGCGAGGCGTGCCCGCGATCATGCGCGAGGTGAGCTGCGTTCCCTCGCGTCCCGCGAGCGGCGAGTCATTGACCGAAAACACCATCGCGATTGTCGGCGGGTCGATCGGCTCGGCCGGGATCGGGGCGCAGCTCCCGGAGGCGGCGACGGTGTCCGCCACAGAGGCGGTCTTGAGGCCGGCGAGCGTCACGATTTCGCCGGCCCCCGCACGCTCGACCGCGATTCGCTCCAGCCCGCGTGCGCGCAGCAGCTTGGTGAGGCGGGCCACCTCGACCACCGGCGCCGTCCGTGCCGAGCACCGTCACGGTCTGGTTCGCCTCCACCTGGCCGGAGAGCACGCGGCCGCTCACAAGCCGGCCGAGAAAGGGGTCGGCCTCGAGCAGGCTGATCAACATGCGGAACGAGGCATCCGATCCGTTCGCACGGCGCCGGGACGTGCGCGATAACACTCTCGAAGAGTGGGGTCATGTCGGTCCCGGCGGCGGCCGGGTCGTGCGAGGCCCAGCCGTCACGCGCCGAGGTGTACACGAGCGGAAAGTCGAGCTGCTCGTTGGTCGCTCCCAAGCGTCGAACAGATCGAAGACCGCCTCGTGCACGGTCTTGGGCCTGGCATCCGCTCGATCCATCTTGCTGATCGCAACGATGGGCCGCAGGCCGAGCCTGAGCGCCTTGTCCACGACGAATTTGGTCTGAGGCATCGGGCCCTCGGCTGCGTCCACGAGGACGAGCACCCCGTCGACCATGCCGAGCACCCGTTCGACCTCGCCGCCGAAGTCCGCGTGGCCGGGGGGTGTCGACGATGTTGATGCGCACACCGTGCCAGTCGATCGCGGTGCACTTGGCCAGGATCGTGATGCCGCGTTCTCGTTCGAGCTCGCCGCTATCCATGGCGCGCTCCTGCATCGGCTGGTTCGCCCGCACCGTGCCGCTCTGGCGCAGCAGACCATCGACCAGGGTCGTCTTGCCGTGATCGACATGGGCAATGATGGCGATGTTGCGCAAGTCCATGGCTGCGCGGTACTCCTCGTGAAATCGGCGGATGGGACGGATGCGAGGCTCGTTCGGCTCCCTAATTCTCACTTGATCAAAGGCTTGTGGTGACGCCCTCGACTGAAAGAGGCAGTCTCGGACTGATCCCGGTCGCGGTACGTTGAAACTTCACCACGCATACGACAGCACTCGCATCGGCGCGCATTTGAGCGCGCGCATGTCGGCGTTTCGAGGCCCGTATGACGGTGGGAAACGAGGACAGTTGCGTTATGGCAGCCTTCTACCACATCGCAGCGGATTCAGGGGCAACCCGTCGGTCCTTCCCCATTGGGTCGGTCCACCGTTATGGTTCGGATCGAGGAGAACTGGACGTGCCCCCGGTGCTGGACCGCCGGTTTCGTTGGCCGACCGCGACAAGTCATTTCGAGGAGGAACGCGCATGGAAAACCTCTCCGCCCGCACGCGCCGCGTCATCGAGGGCCGCCCGGCTCTCATCGTCGTCGACATCCAGGCACTGACCTTCGACGAAACGATCCGGCACAGGGCGATCCCCAACATGCCGGGCTACAAGGATCGGATGCTCAAGGCTCGACGTCTGATCGACAAGGCGCGCGAACAGGACATCCCGGTGATTTTCATTCAGGAGGTCCACCGGCCGGACCTTGTCGATTTCGGCCGCGAGCTTGACGGTGACGAGGACGTCCACTGTCTCGAAGACGACCCCAACACCGCGATTGCCGTCGAGCAGACGGGCTTTCGCCCGGACGACTACCTCATCAAGAAGCGGCGGTACTCGGCCTTTTTCGGCACGGACCTCGAGATTCTGCTGCGCGGATTGAAGGTCGACACGTTGCTGCTCTGCGGTGGACTGACCGACGTGTGCGTGCACTACACCTTCGTCGACGCTCACCAGTCCGACTATTTCTGCCGGGTGATCGAGGACTGCGTCGGAGGCTCGAGCGAGGAGGCACACGAGGCCGCGCTCAGGGCCATGGAGTACCTGCAGACCGGCGCACGCCGCTCTCTCGATGAGGTGCTGGCCGCAATGGAGTCGTGCCGGAGCCCGGACTCCGCGGCGGCGTAGCCCAACGCGGCCCGTCCGCTGGGCCGCCCCTGCGGCTCGATTAGGACCTCAAGGGCCGCTGCCGGTCACGATCGCTGGAACCAGCACTGCTCGGCCACGCGGAGAAAGTTCCCTCCCATGATGGCCGCAATGTCGTCGTCGCCGTAACCGCGCTCCGCCAACCGCGTGCTCAGGCCGCCGGCTGCTTCCGGCGAGACGAAATCGAGGCTCTTGAATGAGTCTTCGTCGTATCCGTGCTCCGGCGGAAACCAGTAGGCGGGGTCCGTCCCTTCCGGCAGCTCCTCGAGCTCCAGGTCGTAGACGTAGTCGAGCCCGATCCCGACATGGCGGGTGCCGACGCGCTCGGCCAGATAGTCGATGACCCGGATCATCGCGTCGGCCTCCGCCTCCCCGCCCGGCATGAACACGCTCACACCGTTGACGCCGATGACGCCGCCGAGCCCGGCGCAGGCGTCGATCATGTCGTCGGTGATGTTGCGCAAATTGCCGTTCAGGACGCGCGCGTTGGAGTGGCTGAAGACCACGGGCTTCTGCGCGATCTCCATGATTCGCATCACCGTCTCTTCGTTCATGTGCGAGCAATCGACCACGATGCCCGCCTCCTCGCAGGCGCGCACGAACTCGGCGCCGAGTGCCGTCAAGGGGGCGCCCGCCTCGTAGCACCCGCCGGCAGCCTCGTTGGCGCGGTTGTAGGCGAGCAGCACTTGCCGAACGCCCAGCTCGGCGTAGAGGGCAACCGTCGACGGGTTGGCCAGGAGCGGCTTCGCGCCCTCCAGGTCGAAGCCGACCGCGAGCTTGTTCTGCTGCGCTGCCGCGCGCACATCCTCGATGGAGCGAGCCGGGAGGAAATCGGGGCAGCGTGCGATCTGCTCGCGAAAGGACGCGATCATGGAGACGACGTCCGCTATCGGCGTCATGTCCATGCCGACATTGATCGAGACGAAGTCGAAGCCCGCGTCCCGGTGCCGCTTCAGGGAGGCGAGATCGTAGTCCGCCTTGAGCGGCACGCAGCTATGGGCATCCCAGCGAATATCCACCATGCGATCGCGGCGGCGGAGCGGCCGCCGCTCCCTTCGTCGATGTGAGCCGGGCGGCGCGGGCGCTGCGGATCACGTCTCAATGCCCGGCGCCCCGTCCGGCCCACTATCGCATGCGGCGACGCCGTGCGCTTACAATTGCCACACCTTGGGGCTACGTTCGCCCGAACATCGGGAACACTGTTTGTGGAGGATGGCGGCCCATGATCGACGCCTATTACTGGCCGACGCCCAATGGATGGAAGATCTCCATCGCCCTGGAGGAGATGGGTCTCGACTACCGGATCGTCCCCGTCAACATCTATCGCGGCGAACAGTACGAACCCGACTTCCTCGCCATCAGCCCGAACAACCGGATGCCTGCGATCGTCGATCACGATCCGCCGGACGGCGGCGGGCCGCTCGCGGTGTTCGAATCCGGCGCCATCCTGATCTACCTGGCCGAAAAGACCGGCCGCTTCCTGCCGACGGACCTGCGCGGGCGCAAGACCGTGCTCGAATGGCTCTCGTGGCAACTGGGCGGCCTCGGCCCGATGATCGGCCAGGCCGGCCATTTCAAGCTCTATGCGCCGGAGCACCATTCCCTACGCCATCGAGCGCTATCGCAGCGAAATGCTCCGCCTGTACGGCGTGCTCGACCGAAGGCTCGAGGGCCGCGACCATATTGCCGACGAGTACTACTCCATCGCCGACATGGCCTGCTGGCCCTGGGTCATCACCTACAAGGGGCAGAAGGTCGACCTCGACGCGTTCCCCAACGTGAAGCGCTGGTACAAGGCGCTGCAGCAGCGGCCGGCGCTGCGGCGCGGCTATGACGCCGGCAAGGAGCTCGGCAAGCTGAAGATGGAGTGGGACGAGGAAACCAAGCGGAACCTCTGCCCGGCTACCGGCCGGAGGGGGCGGCGGGAAGCGCCGCCTGAATCCCGTTATCCGAGCCGCCGCGATTGCCGGTCATATCCCGGAGTGTCCGCCACGGAGGTCGCGATGTCGCTAGCCCCGTCCACTGTCGAGCGCTACTCCATTCTCACTTGCCCGACCTGCGGGCATGAGGCGCGAGAGGAAATGCCAGACGACTCGTGCCTGTTCTTCCATGAGTGCGCGGGTGCGGCGTACGGCTGAGGCCGCTTCCGGGCGATTGCTGTGTCTTTTGCTCTTACGGTTCGGTGCCGTGCCCGCCGAAGCAGGCCGCGGGCTCGGCGGGAAGGAGTTGTCAGTGAACGACGCGCGCGACATTACCGATCATTACACGAGCGGCGATCTGCTGGCCCGGCTCGAGGCGAGCTGCGGGAGGATGGGGTCGACCGTCGCAGCGCGACCGCCGAGGCCCTGGCACCCTACGATCATTTCCACGGCCGGGGCCTGGAGGCGACCGAGGAAATGGCGGCGCTGCTCCGGGTCGCCGGGACCGACCATATTCTGGATGTCGGCAGCGGTCTCGGCGGGCCCGCGCGCTACCTGGCCGGGCGCTTCGGCTGCCGTGTCAGCGGGATCGATCTGACGGCCGAATTCTGCGACGTGGCGCGCCACTTGACGGCACATCTCGGGCTTGAGGAGCGCGTCTCCATCCGGCAGGGCGATGCGCTGGCGATGCCGTTCGGCGACGCGGCGTTCGACGGTGCCTACTCGATGAACGTCTCGATGAACATCGCCGACAAGCGCGCGCTCTATCGGGAAATCCACCGCGTGATCAAGCCCGGCGCCTGGCTCATGCTGTCGGAAGTCACGCAAGGGCCGGGGCGCGCGCCGGACTACCCGACGCCCCTGGGCGCGGACGGCCTCGTCGAGCTTTCTCGCGACCGAGGCCGAGACCCGCGAAAGCCTGGAGGCCTGCGGGTTCGCCATCGAGAGCCTGCGTGAGACGACGGAGGCGGCGCTTGCCTATGGCGCCCGCTCGCGCGCATTGGTCGAGGCGGGCGGAAAGCCGCTGCACCGTGCCATTTCGCTGGTCCACGGCGCACTCGCCGAGGAAGCGGCGGCGAACTCGGCGCGCGCGCTGAAGGAGCGCCGCGCGGTGCCGATCGAGCTTCTCTGCCGAGCGCTGCCGCACTAAAGCGATAAGGCGTCTTATCGGTCGCGATAGGCAGCTCGCGATCTCCGCGGTCGAGAAAGGCCTCGCCCCGGCCGCATTGCTTGCCGGCTGCCGGCCCCTGACGCTATAAGGGGCGCGCGCTGGGGGTATCGCAGCCTCCCGCGTGCGTCACCGGTCGGAGTGTAGCTCAGCTTGGTAGAGCACCGTCTTCGGGAGGCGGGGGTCGGTGGTTCAAGTCCACTCACTCCGACCAGCGATCGCAACTTCTGGCTTGTGCCGGCGGCGGGCCGCGCCGTCCGCGACCGGCAAATCTGGGCGCCCGACAGTGCCAATCTCCGCAAAGGGGCATAGAGCCGAACCCTGCCCTCGGGCTTTTCCACGACAGCGGGCGGCATCGTGAACGAAAGCATGGCGACGGATCGTCCGGATGCCGCGCGCGCGGATACCCCGGATGCCACGTGCGCCGATGCGCGAGACGCGGTTCTGCAGCGGGCCGAGGCTCTGTTGCCGAGCCTGCGCGAACGCGCCGCCGCGACGGAGGCGCTGCGCCGTCTGCCGGCCGAGACCGAGGCCGCGTTCCACGAGAACGGGCTCTTCCGCGTGCTCCAGCCGGCCCGCGTCGGCGGTGCGGAGCTCGACTACGGCATCCTCATCGATCTCGGCGCCATCATCGCCCGTGCCTGCCCGTCCAGCTCCTGGAACCTGACCAATCTGCTCGCCCACCACTGGATGCTCGCGCTGTTCGAGCCCGAGGTGCAGGACGAAGTCTGGGGGCCGGACCCGGACGTGCTGATCGCGGCCTCGCTGATCTTCCCGGCGGGCAAGGCGCGCGCGGTCGATGGCGGCTACGTCATTTCCGGCCGCTGGCCCTTCGCGAGCGGGATCGATCCCAGCGAGTGGACGATGCTGGGCGGGATCGTCGCGGACACCGACCCACCCGAGCATCGAATGTTCGTCCTGCCCCCGCAGCGACTACGAGATCATCGATACCTGGCATGCCACGGCCCTGCGCGGGACCGGGAGCAACGACGTGGCGGCCGAGGAGGTCTTCGTGCCCGCGCACCGCACGCTCGCGGTCGACGAGACCAAGGGGTGCCGCGGGCCTGGCCTGGCCGTCAACGATGCCGCGCTCTACCGGCTCCCCGTCTTCGCGATGTTCCCCTACGTGCTCGCCGGCTGCGCCCTCGGCACGGCGGAGGGCGCGCTGGAGGGCTACGTCGCGGCGACCCGCCGGCGCGTCGGCTCCTACAGCGGGACCCGTGTCGCCGATCACGTGCCGATCCAGATCAAGATCGCCGAGGCCGCGGTCAGGATCGAGGCGGCGGGTACCCTCATGCGGCCGCCTGCGACGAGGCGATGGCCCATGGGGAGGCAGGCACGGTGCCCGATTTCACGACGAAGACCCGCTTCCGCCGCAACGGCGCCTATGCCGCCAGCGAATGCCGCCGCGCGGTGGACATCCTGTTCGAGGCGAGCGGGGGTGCCGCGCTCTACGAGCGCAACCCGATCCAACGGTTCTTCCGCGATATCCACGCCATCAACGCGCACATCTCGTTCAACTTCGATATCGCGGGTGCGCAGTACGGCCGTGCGGTGCTCGGCATGGAAGAGGGCGGGGGCTTGCTCTAGACTGATTGGCAGAAGAGCGTAGCCGGCTCGCCACCGGGCGGCGGGACGGAATAGGGGAGATGCTGGATGAAACCGCCACCGTTCGACTATTGCTGTCCGGAGACCCTGGAGGAGGCGCTGGCGCTGCTTGCCGAGCACGGCGAGGCGGCCAAGGTGATCGCGGGCGGCCAGAGCCTCGTGCCGATGCTGAACCTGCGGGCGCTGCACCCGGACGTGCTGATCGATATCAACCGCCTGCCCGGCCTCGACTATGTGACTCTGGAGGATGGGCAGCTCAGGATCGGCGCGCTCGCCCGTCACAAGGCGGTGCTGGAGGCGGATGCCGTGCGCGAGGCCTCGCCCTTGATGGCCGCCGCCTATCCCTATGTCTCCCACGGTCCGATCCGCAATCGCGGCACGCTCTGCGGCAACCTCTGCCACAACGACCCGGCGTCGGAGATGCCGGCGGTGGCCGTGGCAAGCGGCGCGGAGATGGTGTTGCGGAGCGCAGGCGGCACGCGCACCGTCAGGGCCGAGGACTTTTTCACCGGCACGCTCTCCACGGCGGCCGAGGCGAACGAGCTACTCGTCGAGGTCCGCGTGCCGCAGGCGCCGGCCGGCCAGGGCGCGGCCTTTCACGAGGTGAGCCCGCGCAAGGGCGACTTCGCCTACGTGGCCGTGGGCGCGACGGTCGAGCTTGCGGACGGTGCCTGCACTGGCGCGCGGATCGTCTGCGCCGGCGTGGGCGACGGGCCGCACCGGGCGCGTGCTGCCGAGGATGCGCTCGCAGGGGCGCGGCCGGGCGACGATGCCTTCCGCCAGGCCGCGGCCGCGGCGGCGGACAGCATCGACCCCAGCGAAGATTTTCACGCGGACGCGGACTATCGGCGCGATCTGGTGCGCAGCCTGACCCGGCGCGCGCTTGCCGATGCCGCCTCCCGCTGCCACTGAAGGGAGGTGGAGATGACGACGCCACGTACCGTCGAGCTTGTCGTCAATGGCGAGCGCCGCGCGGCCGACGCCGAGCCGCGCATGCTGCTGAGCGACTTCCTGCGCGAGAAGCTCGGGCTCACCGGCACCCATGTCGGCTGCGAGCACGGGGTCTGCGGCGCCTGCACCGTGCTCGTCAACGGCGAGGCCGCACGCTCCTGCCTGATGCTCGCCGTCCAGGCGGCGGGTGCCGAGGTCCGCACCATCGAGGGCCTGGGCGGTGTCGACGACATGCACCCGCTGCAGGAGGCGTTCTGGGAGAAGCACGGCCTGCAATGCGGCTTCTGCACCCCCGGCATGCTGATGACGGCGGTCGAGTTGCTGGAGAGCACGCCCAATCCGAGCCTCGACGAGATTCGCGAGGCGATGTCGAGCAACCTCTGCCGCTGCACCGGCTACCAGACAATCGTCGAGGCGGTGCAGGCCGCGGCCGAACGGATGCAGGGAGAGGGGCAATGACCCGCGAGCGCCATTACATCCCCGAATCGCGTCAGCGCGAGAAGCCCAAGTCCAAGTACTTCGCCATCGGGCACAGCATGAAGCGGGTGGAGGACACCCGCCTGCTCACCGGCTCCGGCACTTATGCGGACGACGTAATGCTGCCCAACATGGCGCATGCCGCCGTGCTCCGCAGCCCCCATGCCCACGCCCGCATCGTGAGCATCGACAAGTCGAAGGCCGAGGCGCTGCCCGGCGTGCTCTGCGTCATGACCGGCGCCGAGGCGGCGGAGGTGACGGGGCCGTGCGCGGACTTCTCCAGTCCGCCGACGCCGCAGTACTGCATCGCCGTGGGCAAGGTGCGCCACGTGGGCGAGGCGGTCGCCGCCGTCGTGGCGGAGAGCCGCTACATCGCCGAGGACGCCTGCGAGCTGATCGAGGTCGAATACGATCCGCTGCCGGCGGTCGTCGATCTCGAAGAGGCGGTGACGTCGACCGGTGACGCCGTGCTCCATCCCGAACGCGGCGATACCAACGTCGCACTCCAGCGCACGATTAATTTCGGCACGGTGGACGAGGACTTCGCCGCCGCCGATCTGGTGATCGAGCGCCGGCTGCGCTGGCCGCGCTCCGGCGGCACGCCGATCGAGACCGTCGGCGCCACCGCCCACTACGACCGGGGCACGGGCAAGTTCACGATCCACGCCAACACGTCGATGTACAACTACGTCGGCTGGCTGATCGCGGTCTCGCTCAAGGTCGATCCCCACCGGCTCAACATCGTGCCGACCGACGCCGGCGGCAGCTTCGGCAGCAAGCTCTTCTGCCACAAGGTCTGCACGCTCGCCGGCACGCTCGCCCGCGCCGCCGGCCGGCCGGTCAAGTATCTGGAAGACCGCATCGACAACATGACGAGCGGCGACGCCCACGGCTCCGACCGCCTCTACGACGCCAAGCTCGCGCTGAAGCGCGACGGCACGATGCTGAGCATGCGGCTCAAGGTGATCGACGATTACGGCGCCTACTTCCAGTACGGCGTCGGCCAGCACGGCAA